ACCCACACACACAAAAAACCCCCACAACCCTGAGGATGCCAGATGTGAATCTTGAGTCTTCTTGGGAAAAGAAGGATTCACTAAGTTGTGCCACCATCCCCAGTTCTTTTCTATAGACAAGGAAAAAGAAAATACAGCCCCCAAATTTTCCCTCTGGACACCTACAGGAAAGGTGATCAAGTTCTAGAAGTTGAAAAGCAATGGATGCTAGTTTAAACTTACGATGCTAGCAACATAGCTGCAGTCCCCACAAGCTGAAGCTTCCCTCTCAGCACAGACATTGAGGAAAGAAATCTATCAATGTAGTTTACAGCTAAGTGCAGAGTTTCATTCTGTAATTTATATTCTTCTCCAACTTCCACCAGCCAGTCCACAAGAATAGCTCGCATATTGTTTGTTATATCAGGCTGCTTCTTCATGTAACCCACTTTAGGCTTGCATTTCACCTGTTAAGACAGTTGTAATTTATGTACATAAGAGATTTAATTAGTATTTGAATCTTGCAAAGAGACGAGACTGTTCCCTAGCCTCTGTTTGCCAGAAGCTGGGAATGGATCACTTGATGATTACCTGTTCTGTTCATTCCCTCTGAAGCACCTGGTATTAGCTACTATCAGATACTGGGCCATTGGTGTGACCCAGAATGACCATTCTTACGTTTTTATTCTTACTGACCAAAAAATCCACCACAGATAAGAATCCAAGAGTTGGTTAAACACATGTACTGCATCTAAAGTAGAATCTAGTTTAGATATCAAAGGTCTTAGGTCACCAAGTCCATTGTCCAGCCAGTATGGGCTTATTCTCTATTTTGTGTTCAGTGGATTATCTAGCCAGTTTTAGTATAATTTGAGAAGGGTTCAGCAGTTTCATCAGGAAATGATTCCATGGTCTAGTGCAGGGGTAGGCAGCCTATGGCACGCAAGCTGATTTTCAGTGGCACTTGCAGTGCCTGGGTCGTGGCCACTGGTCTGGGGGGCTCTGCATTTTAAATAAAAATCTTAAACATTTTAAAAACTTTGTTTTCTTTATACAACTAAGCTATTGTTGTATAGCTTATAGAAAGACCTTCTAAAAATGTTAGAAATGTATTACTGGCTCACAAAACCTTAAATTAGAGTGAATAAATAAAGGCTTGGCACACCACTTCTGAAAGGTTGCCGACCCCTGGTCTAGTGTCCTCTCTCAACCTATAAATTGCTTATTCTGTCACTGTACTAGCTTTAACACTGCATAAGAATAACTACATTCTGTCCAGAATGTAGACCAAACACTTCTAGTTCTAAGGGCATATTTATGGCCTCTTACCTCTATTTCCCTAAGGTATGTATAGATGTCTTCAATGTAGTCTGGCACTTGGTTAACATTTACTTTTTCTTCCACTTCTTGAGTTACTGATATATCCATAATACTTGGAGAATCTAAAAAAAATTCAAGATAGTAGCCACACTAATTTAAGTTTGTAGAGTTGTCAGCCCACACATTTACAAGAGAGTCTAATGATTGACACTCAGTGTTAGTTTAGTTTCTTATGCATTTGAGCCACCAAAGCTGCAGCAGTCCAGGGAGACCAGAAAGTCAGCAGTTTGCGGTTTTATCATACTTCATTTTAGTCACTGGGAACTAGACACATTTGTTCTTCAGGAATCCCTTAACTGTTCCAAGGGAAAGGGAGCTCAATGGCAAACATGAAGTGCAAAGGGTATCTCTACCCTGACAATCAGAAGAAGTCACTTTGTGTTACCATGTTAAAATAAAAATTCAAGTTCTTTGCTGATTTAGAGTAAGCTGAAGCCTTTGATTAGTGAGTTTAGAGGTTGGTCTAAAATGGAGGTAGATTTTCACAATGGGGATTAAGTAGTTGCCAGAGCTACAGAACTAGGCTACTGATATGGTCCCTCCACAGATGTATTTACATGTAGAGAATAACTACAGTGTGTCTAACAATATCCCATTGTCATTATTTTAGGAATCCACAAACCAGCAGGCTACCATATAAGTTATGTAAATTGACCCAATCTAGATCCATTTAATACTTGAACAGAGGGGATTAAGGAATTACATTGTGGATTCTAGTTCTGGAAATTGGATTAGACATTTTAGACAGCAATGTAAAAAGGGAACCACAGAATTAAGTATTAGTCTTGTTAGATTCAGTCAGTGTCAGTTATGTTTTTAATACATGGCATGTGATATACCGGTGCATATACATGAAGGAGTCAATATAGAATGTAGCAAGACTGCAACATAGCAGCAGTATTTGTGTTGCCCCACACTCTCCTTCGCAGTAACCCCTGACCTCCACATCCCTCTGTAGTAGAGGCCACACTCCCCCCCCATGAATTCAAGCATTTTGAAGCACTTATTTTCAGATTGAGTTTGGAGCTCCAGTATTCACACCTGGAGACAGCAGGAGCTAGAGGTACCACCCTATCAGTACCCTCTGAGCTAAGAGCATTCCAGTCTCTGCAGAGACCCTGCCTGGAGTTAAATACTCTGCTCCTTTTCCCTTTAGCCTCCAAGACTGTAGCTAGGAGCAAAGCTCTAGAGTGGTTTGTGTTTCGCTGCAATCCATAACCCCCTCCAATAAGTTACAAGGTGGCAGGGCTCAAACAGATCCTTCACTCATGAGCCACAGTGGAACTAAGAAGGGTAAGGACACACAAATACGGCAGTTAGTGGGCAAAGCAGAGTGGTTGACTGAAAATAGCTTTGGTAATGCACAGGGAGGAAGTATCAGGAAGAAATAGAGCAGCTTCAGGAATTAGCCACCTACCCACTCAAATCTATGTCCTCTCCCATAGCCTCTAGATTTGGGAGGTCTTCTGAGCAACCCTAAATCACTCAAACTGGACCTTTATAGGAAGATATTGTTCCATTACTTATGGAAAGATCACAGCAAAGACGGACACTTCCCCGTGGGTACTGCTCTGATCTAAGATCTAGAATGGTCTGGTCTTCCCACAATCAAATTGAGAATTCTTGTTTGTGATAAATTACTTTTGATAATCCAATTGAGATTGAAAGTGTGATTTAAAGATACTTGCATCCAGTTTCTGCTAGAATTTTGCAAGTTTAGTTTCACTGACCTGGTACTACAGGAGCATAGTGGGAAAAGTGTTCACTTCAGAAAAACCAAGTGAATACATTCTGGCTCAACTACAGACAAATGCATATAAGGTGCAGTGGGTAGTGTCTGAGGTTCTCTGGTCAGTGTCTCCCTCTGGATCCCTGCTTTTGAACCTGTAATCCTCACTCCTGGTCCTTGTTTTTTCATTTGTTGTCCCTGTAATCTTTTGACACCTGGGTCTAGTGGAGCCTCCCCTTGGGGAGGGGGGGGGGGGGGAAGGAGAAGAGGAGGCGGCTTTAGATGAGGGTGGGTTAGTGCCCTCCCAACCCCAGAGCCTCAACACTGGTAGTGGTTCTCAACCCCCAACCCAATCAGGACATAGCTGCAGACCATGTGACATCATTGGGGCCATACAGGTAGTATATATAGTGTGGATAGATGTGGCCCACATTTCACAGAGAGAGCTGCATATGCAGCCCAGGATAGTAAATAGGTTGAGAACCACTGCTGTTTAGAACTGACAAATGCATTAGGAATTGTCAAGAGATGCAAGTCTAGTATTCTTGCTACAATACTGCATGTTTGAACAGACTACAGATTTGTAACTTTCAACTGCAATTAAATTTATGTAGTACCTAGTTAAAGTGTTTTAGTATTGTATAAAGTAGCCTATATGAGAGCCCAGTACTGAATTGGGCATGTCAATTTCAAAAACAGAATCTGTGCTTTATACACCATTTTCTGTTAGTAACTAACATACTTACCAAAACTAAGATCCATTGGATTGTCTAGGGGTGCCAAGGGTTTTCTGTCTCCTAATGACGTTACAGCAGTATTTAAGCCTAGGACCTCTTCATGGGACACAGCCTTTTTAGGAACCACTTGTCTCTTCCGTCTCTCCCCATCAGGCTCATCCATATGGATGGCAAAAGCAGGCTGTTTGTTACCCCCTTTCCCAGCTGGAACTTTGCAATAGTTTTCATCATTAATACTCCAGGGTGCGTGAGCAAGAGCAGCCTAGAATAAGAGTTTGCCATTAGTGTTTCCATGGAGCCCTCCCCTCCTTCCATCCAACAGGGCTCCGGAGCCCAAGGCAGCATACACGCGCCACATTTCCATTGCAGCCTAACGCCCGCTGGTTTGCATCGCGATTTAGGTTCTATCCATGGAGGCCCCGGCAATATTCCGAGCTAGTCACGTCGTGCCTGACCAGTCCGCCCTCTCTCTTCTGCTAGAAGAGAGCCACCGCCATGTGCCCGGCCCGCGCTCCCAGATGCTCAGCCTAGGCAGGAGCCGCGGAGCCTGCCCGTCTCTCAGCAACGCTGGCGCGTTGCTGTCTAGGCTCCCCACCCACCCCAGCATCCCCAGCCCAGCAGGAGCCAGCTCCCCCGGCCGGCTGCTGACAGCTCGCTGCCCCTGGGCCGCTCATTGCTCCGCGGGGCGCAGCAGAGAGAAGCGCGGCCCTAAGATGGCGGATGCCGGGCAGCTGTTCACACTGCGGGGTCCGAGAGTCGGGGTCCAAGCACAGGAGCCGGTCCCGGTCGCTGCAGCGCCCCGGTGCAGACGCGCCCGCCCGTCACTAGAAGCGGTAGGGACGACGCGAGTACAGCCGCCACCAGAGCCCCGGCCCGCAGCGCCCCCGCCCGGCAGCCCCATCGTACAGCGCCCGCCTTGCCTGCTGCTGGGTCGGGCGGCGCTGGTTGCCCCGCAGCAACGCCAGCACCGGGCGGGCCCCGGAGGCGGCGGCGGGCGGCCGCGCTTTGCCGCCGGGGGGCACATTCTCCTGGTTCTCCTGCTCCAGGTCAGCGGCGCCCGCCAGCATCATCCCAGCGCCGGGGGGCTCCTGCGCGGCTCGGCAGCCGCGTGTACTGGGGGGTCGGAGCTCGGCGGGCACCCGGCTCTGCGGCCGCTCCCTGGGGATAGAGGCGCCGCGCCGCTGGGGTGCCCGGGAGAAATGGGACTCGCGCTGCGGGTAGCTCCTCCAGCCCGCTCCGCTCCCACCGTTCAAGTAGCCCGCGACTATTGAATCCGCCAATGGGGAACCCAGGGCCACACGTCACACCGCCTACGGCACCCCGCGGGGCCCAAACGCGCTGCGCGAACAGTCGGCATGGGCGGGGCGGGAGGGAACGGCGCGAGGGGCAGCCACAGCCAGGGGGCGGGGGCGGGGGCGGGGGTGGGGTGGGAGATCCCTGCCTCGTGCAGCGCTGCGCAGTCAGGCTGACGGTACAGCGGTAAGAGCGCAAGGCCCCGATCCCGCAAACCCTCTGGCACGTGGTGGTCGGGTAGAAAAGGCGTTGGCGGTTCGGGGCTGCTCCGCGCCTAGAATGTCAGGCCGGGCGGGGTTGTACCGGGGCGCGCGCCTCTTCTGTAAAGCAACTCCGTGCCCAGCAAACCCGTGACAAAGATCCCCCCCAAATGAGACAGTGCTCGGTGCGGAGGCTCACGGCACGGGCCTAGTGTCCTCAACCACAAGTACTCCTCGTTCTTTCAACCTCCCAGTTTTCTATGTTCTCAGTCTTGTAATTCCACATTTGTGAGCCAGGCAGTTGACACTAATGGAGAATTAACACACTCTTGCTGAATGAGCTAGGTGAATTTGAGCCTGGAGGCTACATCACTATAATCTTTTTCTTTTTTCACTTTCTTAAGTAAAACTAGATTTAATTAGGTCTTATCTACAGGGACACCTATTCCTGATTAACTGCTTGTGTGGATGCTCTTACGCCAGAGTAAGAGTTCTTTGCTACTGTTTAGTTTAACCTATTCTGGAAGTGGATTAAATTTATTTGGAATTTTAAAAAACCTTATTCTAGAATAAGAGCTCCCCACAGGCAGTTAGCAATAGCAATTATGCGCTATATTCACACCCTTCCTTGATCCAAATTAACTTCTTCGTGTAGACAAGCCCTTACATAGTGTATTTGTGCAGTAGAGAAGGCAGTGATCATTGTTGAATAAAAGCTCCCTTTTTAGATAAGAATCTATTTTTTATGAAAACTTAGAAACCCAACTCAGGGTATCTTGTATCATGGAGTATATATATTTCCAAACCAGTCCGAATTGGAAAACAATTTTATTTCATGTAGATAGTTTTAACTCAGTACGTCATATGTATTAATTAAATCCTATTATACTAGGGATCAGCAGCACTGCAGGATATAAGAGCTATGTGCTTTTGGATTTTACCACCAAACCCTAAAGCAGAAATTTTACAGCAAAAAAGTATGGAATAATAGCTCAACTCTTGCCACGCTCCTCCAATGGAGCCAACACAGAAAAGGCAGATTCATCCCCAGTTTTGGTCAGATTACCCTTTTAACTCTGCTGCCTAGGATGGGGCATGATCCAAGGCCCATTGAAGTCAATGAAAAGACTCTCGCTTTACTTCAATGGGCTTTGGATCATCTAAACTCCCAGACCCAGGGGATAGTTTTAAATATAAAAATCATGCTAGCTAGACTCAGCCCCACAGTGTGAACCAGCTACCCATTGCTTGTTTGTTTTTTATGTCCGTAACTGGGAATTGTTTATCTCCTTTTCTTTTTCTACCAAGGATTCAGGGGTGCTGGAATAATTTTTTATAGTGGGGGTGCTGAGAGCCATTGGACCAACCTGTAAATCCTGTATATAATAGAAACCACTTCAAGTTGGGGGTGTGGCAGCATCTCCCATACTCCTAGTTCCAGCACCTGTGTAAGGACCCAATAGCTTGTTTTCCTGACTTGGAGTTGGCACTTTTGTGTATATATGCCCCTCTATGGATAGTGATTTTTTAATTTCAAATTACTGATTCATTTAAAAATTATTAATCACATTTTTATCATCTGTATATAGGGTTCTCCCATGCTATTAAGTGGCACAAAATCCTGTAGGTAAGTGATGCTGTATGTGACATCTTTCTCATTATAAGGGCAGTTTATAGTGCTTATTTCACACTAAACATTTACTTTGAGTGTTATAACAACATACATTAAATTAATAATAATCCTTTTAAAAATTCACAGTATTACAAAACTATCTACATATACAGGCCTTTATTTACAGAGTGAATTTTGAAACATGGTAAATGTTATTAATGAGATTTGTAGTGGTATTTAAAACCACTGATTTTGGTTTTTTGAAGGTTTGAAACTTTTCTGGGATGTTATATTTTGAAATGCATATGATGTAAATAAAAATTAATATTAAAAAGATGGGTATATTACTACAGTTAATGTAGTGCTCGTGTTAAAGGTGTACACTGATGTACATAAGACTGAAGTTCTGTTTTTCTTCAAAACTAGCATAGCAATGGCACTGGCAGTATAAGTTACCACATTAATGTTTCCACCCATTTCTGGAGGGACCACCTTTGGGAGTCAGAAAATAATTCAGTCTTCATGAATGTTCAATCCTTTTGCTGACACTAACAAAGGCACCAATTGGGATAATGTTCTTTGAGAAAAGCTATCCATTAAAAATTGAACTCAGACCATTACAACTCATTTCACCAACCTAAAGACTGCAGGATCACACCTTTATAGGCGACATGGAACCACTGATCCCATCACCACCAGTCCCTCCTACTGGTTTGCTTTTGTATTTTGAGGCGGGAGAGTGGGCATGGGAGGGAAGCAGGAAATAGTTCTAGTTAGTTAGAAAAACTTTTTTCATTAATTTATTTTAAATAATATATTTAAAATAAATTAATGAAAATATATATTAAATATATTATTTAAAATAAATTAATGAAAAAAGTTTTTCTAGTGCCTGGTAGATCAAAAGCCAGCTGGTCTAGACAGACAAAATTACTGTTGATATGATCTAAATTAATTGCTCTTGCTTTCTTTTTTGAGCTAAATATAGCTTATGTAAAATTCATATGCAATGGGGATTTTCTATTATTAAGATGGTGAAAAAAAATCCTAGCTATGGAAGTATAAAAATAAGGCTATTAAGGATTATCTATTTTACCTAATTATTAATGAAATGTGTTCACAACTTTGAATATTTAACCATGATCCCCTATAGTATTTAAAGTAACATTTATTAATTTATTAGGTGTTCAGGATATACATACACATATTTTTGCTTTCTCTTCTCCCCTCCAAGAAGTTTTTGGCTGATTTTACACTGATTTTTTTTCCTGGATGATACATTTTACGTGAATATTGTATCTTTGTTATAATTTTGATTCTGAAACCATAAAAATGTTCATAAATGACATTTTACCATTCTTTCAGTAAACAATAGAAGAAAACACTTGTAGAAAGATGAATAAAAGGCATGGAATAAAAAATATGCTCATTTCACATTGGGAACAGACTTTAGTTACTTGAAGATGATAAATGAATACAAACATTGATTTAATATGGTAAAACTATAAATATATTTATTGCTAAATTCATTGTTCTAAAGGCCATTTGATTTATAGAATGTAGCACATTTTATTTATATTACTACTCTGTGAAGAGATACACAAGAAACAAAAGTATTCCAGCACCAGAAATGCTGAAAATAATTTAAAATTCATTTTATTTTGTGCTGTTTTATTTGCATTTGTAAATCAAATAAATATGGAGAGGCAGCATTGTCCAGTGGATAGGGAACTGGCCAGGGACTCAGGAAACCTAGATTCTGTTCCCAGCTCTGCTAGTGACCAGATTTGTGATCTTGGGTAAGTCACGTCTCCTATCTGTGCCTCTATTTCCCATCCTAATGTACACTGTAAGCTCTTTGGACTGTCTCTCAGGTGTTTGGGCCCCAGTTGTGCTAGGTACTGTACAATCTCAGATGAGACCTCTAACCACTGTTGTAATACAAATAAATAATTTTAACACCACATGCAATTAATCTTTAAATAAACTGGAAGCCAGTGTGAGAATAGAGCCAGATTGAACTGAGTAGACCCATGTACGCAGTGCATGCTACTTTTGCCACAAGGGGGTTAACAATAATGCCTCTGTGGCACTACCTACACCAGTGGATCCGCAGAGGAGATTACAAGCATGAAGAAGCTGAGTAAAGGCACAGTGTGGACCAATGTTTAGATTGTTCCCTTTGGCAGCAGCGCTTCAAGGAAAGCAAGCACTTTCCAAGCTGCTATTGCAGCTGCCCTGCCAGGGAGCTAGCAAAAGCAACAGAGGGTCATTCTGAATTGGTGCAAGCCCTTGTCTTGGAAAGCCAACCCTGAAGAGAACACCTTGTACCCCCAGTGGATGTTGGAAAATGTACGTTTTTGTACACTGGAATCCCCGCTTCTTCCACAGGGGAGGTGGGAACGAAGCGGGGGTAGAGGGGGGGAATGCTGCCCACTCTCAGAGATGCACAGATTTTGGGTAAATGCAATAACTATCCACGGGAAGAGGATGTTTGGACTGGATCAAAGACCTCAGCAGCTGGGCCATTGTTTACAAATTGGCAGACAACATTTCACAAGGGTATAACACTTGGCCTTCTGAATTTTGGTCATTGGTCTAATATTAAGATTAGGTAATAAAAAATAATTCAGTACTTTAGTATATACTATCCAGATCAAACAGCCATCAAACATTAGATTTACTTGTGAATTCTAAGCTGACTGTTGTCTGGTAACCAACTAGAACATAAAAACGGCCATACTGGGTGAGACCAAAGGTCCATCTAGCCCAGTATCCTGTCTTCTGACAGTGGCCAATCCCAGGTGCCCCAGAGGGAATGAACAGAACAGGTAATCATCAAGTGATCCATCCCGTCACCCATTCCCAGCTTCTGGCAAACAGAGGCTAGGGACACCATCCCTGCCAGTAGCCATTGATGGACCTATGCTCCATGAATTTATCTAGTTCTCTTTTGAACCCTGTTATAATTTTGGCCTTCACAACATCCTTTGGTAAGGAGTTCCACAGGTTAACTGTGCATTGTGTAAAAAAATACTTCGTTTGTTTTAAACCTGCTGCCTATTAATTTCATTTGGTGGCCCCTAGTTCTTGTGTTATGAGAAGGAGTAAATAACACTTCCTTATTTTCTTTCTCCATACCAGTCATGATTTTATAGACCTCGATCATACCCCCCCTTAGTTGTCTCTTTTCCAAGCTGAAAAGTCCGTCTTATTAATCTCTCCTCATATGGCAGCTGTTCCATAAGCCTAATAATTTTTGTTGCCCCTTTTCTGAACCTTTCCCAAGTCCAATATATCTTTTTTGAGATGGGGTGACCACATCTGCATGCAGTATTCAAGATGTAGGCGTACCATGGATTTATATAGAGGCAATATGATATTTTCTGTCTTATCTATCCCTTTCTTAATGATTCCCAACATTCTGTTTGCTTTTTTGACTGCCGCTGCACATTGAGTGGATGTTTTCCGAGCAGGGTCGGCTCCAGGCACCAGCTTAACAAGCAGGTGGTTGGGGTGGCCAAGGGAGAGGGGCAGCACGTGCGGCAATTCGGAGGTGGCAGGTCTCTCCCTCCCTCTAGGAGCGAAGGACCTGCCACCGAACTGCCGCCGCCGATCGCAGCTTTTTCCCCCCACGCCCCCCAATTGCCGCCGCCGATCGTGGCTTTTTATTTTTTGGCTTGGGGCGGCAGAAATGCCCTGTTTCCGAGAACCATCCACAGACTCCAAGATCTCTTTCTTGAGTGGTAACAGCTAATTTGACCCCATCATTTTATATGTATAGTTGGGATTATGTTTTCCAATGTGCATTACTTTGCATTTATCAACACTGAATTTCATCTGCCATTTTGTTGCCCAATGACTCAGGTTTGAGAGATCCTTTTGTAGCTCTTTGCAGTATGCCTGGGTCTTAACTATCTTGAGTAGTTTTGTATCATCTGCAAATTATGTCACCTTACTGTTTACCCCTTTTTCCAGATCATTTTTCAATATGTAGAATAGGACCGGTCCCAGTACAGACCCCTGGGAGACACTTCTATTTACCTCTCTCTATTCTGAAAACTGACCGTTTATTCCTACCCTTTGTTTCCTATCTTTTAATCAGTTATCAATCCATGAAAGAACCTTCCCATGACTGCTTACTTTGCTTAAGAGTCTTTGGTGAGGGACCTTGTCAAAGACTTTCTGAAAAACTAAGTACACTATATCCACTGGATCCCCTTGTCCATAAGCTTGTTGACCCCCTCAAAGAATTCTAGTAGATTGGTGATGCATGATCTCCCTTTATAAAAACCATGTTGACTATTCCCCAACAAATTATATTAATTTATGTATCTGACAATTTTGTTCTTTATAGTTTCAACCAGTTTGCCTGGTACTGAAGTCAGGCTTACTGGCCTGTAACTGCTGGGGTCACCTCTGAAGCCCTTTTTAAAAATTGGCAGCACATTAGCTATCCTCCAGTCATTTGGTACAGAAGCTGATTAAATGATAGGTTATAGACTACAGTTAGTAGTTCTGCAATTTCACATTTGAGTTCCTTCAGAACTCTTGGGTGAATACCATCTGGTCCTGGAGACTTATTACTGTTTTAGTTTATCAGTTTGTTCCAAAACCACCTCGATCTGGGATAGTTCCTCAGATTTGTCACCTAAACAGAATGGCTCAGGTTTAGGAATCTCCCTCACATCCTCAACCGTGAAGACCAATGCAAAGAATTCATTTAGTTTCTCCGCAATGGCCTTATCCTTGAGTGCTCCTTTAGCATCTCAATCATCCAGTGGCCCCACTGGTTGGTTAGCAGGCTTCCTGCTTCTGATGTACTTAAACATTTTTTTGCTATTACTTTTTGAGTCTTTGGCTAGCTGTTCTTCAAATTCTCTTTTGGCCTTCCTAGTTACATTTTTACACTTCATATGACAGAATTTATGCTCCTTTCTATTTTCCTCATTAGGATTTAACTTCCACTTTTTAAAGGATGCCTTTTTGCCTCTCACTGCTTCTTTTACTTTGTTGTTTAGCCATGGTGGCTCTTTTTTGGTTCTCTTACTATGTTTTTTAATTTGGGGTATATATTTAAGTTGAGCCTCTATTTTGGCTCTATCCCATGCAGTTTGCAGGGATTTTACTTTTGCTGCTGTACCTTTTATTTTCTGTTTAACTAACCTCCACATTTTTGTGTAGTTCCTCTTTCTGAATTAAATGTTACAATGTTGGGCCACTGTGGTGTTTTCCCCACCACAGGGATGTTAAATTTAATTATATTATGGTCACTAGTACCAAGTGCTTCAGCTATATGCACCTCTTGGACCTGATCCTGTGCTCCACTTAGGAATAAATCAAGAACTGCCTCTCCTCTTGTTGGTTCCAGGACTAGCTGCTCCAAGAAGCAGTCATTTAAGGTGTAAATAACTACACCCATCAGGCACATTCTTTGTCAGCTTGGATGGATTCCTTCTGAACAAAAGCATATGTCAGCAAAATATGTATACCTTAGTCTCTTTGCATCTTGGTGGTGTTGAATGAGACCCAAAATAGGTTCTTGATTTCCCTTTTAACTGTCTTTTTAACACCAATGACTAGAAAAGAATCATTATTTTAAAATACTATCCGATCTAGTTTTCAGGATGGTCTTTCGCTTTAATTTTATAGCAGGCAATTCTTCATCCATACTTCTAATGTTCTGGAATAATTGTAATTGCTCAGTTTGTTTGATTTTTTAACTTCTGGATCTCTACAGCAAAGGAAACAGTAGGTTCAAAACCAACGCACAGTTCCTTTTGGAATGGGTCAGCTTATCTCCTACATAGTGGTGGGGTTAATGGGAATATGAGGAAGAAAAGGAAGCCAGATCCAAGAGGCTTGATAGTAGCCTCCACACTTGCAGAGTTGTTTTCAACTTCCAAAAACCACACTGCTATCTGAAAATTGTTAACCTACTGTTGTTTAAAAACATCCTAAACATTAACAAGAAATTAAAGAGAAAAACCATTTTCTCTTCTCTCATTACTTTGTGTAATTGACAGCACTTTATGTAATCATTTTCACGACTATGCTGGTATAGTCAGTCAATTTTGATTTGCTCCTGCAGACCTCCACGTTAGTACAATGGGATTCTGAACACATGCAAGGGACAGTATTGTCAGCTCCTGATGCAGGATCAAGGCCTGGCTTCTGTTTGAGTGGGTCTTTCACACAATAGCAGGGAACAGGGGAAAAAAAATGTAAAAAGAAATGATTATAAAAGTGAAAAAAATAGCAAGGAGACTCAGGCACAATTTTGGTGCCCTAAGTGGATAGCACGAGAAACTACCAGAACTTAATTCATGCTCTTCACTTGGCCCATAACAGCAATAGGTCAGAGCAAAGAAGTGGAGCCATGAGGGGTGTAATTCCAACCACGGGGAAAGCCAATCTAGCAGAGCATCCTGACTTTTTGGGTAGTGGGGGGTGAAGGAAGGCAGCTTCCTCTGTGGCTCTAATGGCTGATGTAGGTTGTTGGCAAACATCACCACATCAGTTACACTTGAGTCACATTTTCAAATTTTTCTTGGCAAACATGAGGGATAGAAACATAATTGTTTGCTAAATGAAAATTTAGATTTTGACATGTTATGAGGAAGGCTCCTAGGCATCACCCCATGATGCTATAAGGCTCAGTTCACCATCACTGCCTCTGGATCATCTGGTATGCTACATAACTGCATTGGCTATTTAAGCAAGTGTAAATAATTAAATCCAACATCACTCGTTGAAAATAGATTTATTTGTTGTTAGGCATAGACAGCATGATTGATGCTGTACAAGACAAAAGTAGTTAGTGTTCCTGCCCTAATATGCTTACCATCTAAATCCATAGGACAAAAAAGTGTTCTCTCAAAAATGCTTTGCAAGAGATAGGAGATGCCATTGTTACTAAAAGATGTTAGAGACTGTGGACTTTGTAATAGAAATTTTTCGGGAGGGTTTGGAAGGGGGAAAAAAAACCACAAAGAGGGTAAGCGCCTGATAGATGGTGACAGTGAGCATTTCAGGCATAGGAGCAGTATGGAGGCAGTCCAACTCAATCCCTTCTAAGGGGACTATATACAATAATTTATACGCGTTCTTAAGAATTTTATACTTACTAGATGGCTTATGCAACATAATGCAATTATATACCTAATTATCCTTTAAAGCAACTAAGTACCTCTTTCCCTTCCTACATACAAAATTGTCTTTAATATCTATAATATATACAACATACAGGTAATTTACAGTATTGTACCGTTTTCTGTATACAGTGAGTATTTTAAACAGTTTGATATAGCTATACATTTCCAATTGTTACTTTCTTAATTTCCCCCAATATATTTAATATTAGACAGATGCCAAGTCCACAAAGACTTGTTTCTCTAGAACTCTTACAACTGTGGAATCTTCTCCCATGTCCTGTTTAACTAGAGTAATAAAAGTTAGTATTTTCAAAAAAATTTAAGTCTTTGCACCTGATCCTATCACAATTTTCTTCAGCTATTATGATCGGTATTCAAGTAAACATACTTCATATGCAATAGGCTTTACAGTTTTTTCAGCTCAAATTCTGAACATACTGTAATAAATACAAGTACAGGACCACATTATAGAACGGTCAACACAGCAAAATGTTAGATACATAAAAGCAAATCAAGATATACTAAAAGCACTTACATTAAAAATATTCAATATCTGATTGCCCTGATTCACATCAATAAGAAAACTGTCCCAACATATCATTTCTTCTAGTTTAGGCAGCAGCATCGAAGAATGCAATCAGTGCATTTTGGTCATAACTGTCCAAAATTTCCAGAAGAAGAGGAACTTTAGTTTTCACATTTGTGCCTTTAAATTTAAATTTATCAATGAAGAGATCTGTAATCATGCCTGCAAAAATAATGTTGATTGACAAGGTTTAGTCTTTGCTTTATTTTAACAGTAGTTTTCTTTTAATAATGTAATTTGAGTTAAATTATGGTTGATTTTCTTTTAGATTATAGAACTAAAATTATTTAGTTTAATACAATATGTTTCAAAATTCATTTACAGTTGAAGTACCAGAGGCCCTGGGATCCTACAATACTTTATGTTTCAGCTACATTCCAAATAACAGCATTTCTGTCTTTGAATTACCTGCATCTCAAGTGGAAGGTGCTCTTAGGACAGAAAGAAAATTGCTTAACAAAAAAAAAAAAGTTTAAAAATGTGTTTTTCAACTAACAGCCTGTGTATGTAGGCTTACTGAAGCCTATTCACTGTCACACCTGCAGATTGTATGTGCTGTGAGCAGCTTCCGTGGTTACTTTACAGATTTCAAGATCCAGATATGCAAAGATTCCATTCAACACTGGATAATTTTAAGATCTATAGGGTCTCAAGGCTTCTGGTGCATTGTGAATTGGTCAGTTCTTGAATTTTTCTACCGGTATTACTAAGAAGTTCTGATCCAACAAGTTCAGTACTTTAGTAGAAAAATCATATTTCAATTTTATATATCTACGATTTGTATTTATATTTCCGACTATGTCTTTCACTTTTGACTTTCAATGTAAATACAATAAATTTAGAGCCTGATTCAGGAGAGAACTTAAGGACATGCTTAAATCCATCTTTGGTCAAGATAACACTTGCCATATTACATCAACAGGCCATAAACACATATCCAAAGTTAAGCACGTGTTGAAGAGCTGTCCTGAATAAGGATGCATTCCTGAATTGGGGTTGTAACAAACAAACAAACAGTCATCCCTCTCTTTTAGCATTCCACTAAATAAAGTGCATGAATCTCATTAGAATAATCCAACTCCTGAATTTTCAGCACTGCCTCAGATCTCATTGATTCATTTTCTAAGGTTCTCTTCTGAATCGTTCTTGAGTTTCTGAAGAGTTTCATATAGAATCATAGGACTGGAAGGGACAATGAGAGGTCTTCTAGTCCCCCGCACTCAAGACAGGACTATGTATTATCTAGACCAGGGGTTCTCAACCTTTTTCTTTCTGGGTTAGGGCCCCCCAAACATGCTATAAAAACTCCACGGCCTACCTGTGCCTAGGGTGACCAGATGAGAGACGTGAAATATAGGGGGGGGGGGGGAAAAGAGTGTGCCGGCAGAGCAAAAAAACAAAAAACCAAGAGCCAGCAGTGGAGGAAAGAACAAAAACAAAAGCAAAAAACTACAACAACCCAAGAGCCGCCGGAGCATAGGAAAAATTGGTGGGGGCTGAGCACCCATCAGCAGCTCCACGCCCCGCCACCCCGCACCAACTCGCCTCCACCTCCCCTGAGCAGGCTGCCGCATCCTGCTTCTCCCCCTTCCCTCCAGCACTTGCGCCGCCATACAGCTGATTAGCGCAAGCCCGGGAGGGAGGGGGGAGGAGGAGGAATGCAGCGTGCTTGGGGAAGAGGTGGGGCCAGGGCGGGGATTTGGGGAGGGATCCAATGGGGTGGTGCTGGGGGCGGGGCAAGGGCGGGAATTTAGGGAGGGATCCAATGGGGGAGGGAAGGGGCGCGAGCCCCCTCCGCCTGTGCGCCGGAGGGCAAAATATTGGGACAATTCACATCCCGACCAAACATCGGTCGGGACGCGGGACAAACAAGTAAATATCGGGACAGTCCCAATAAAATCGAGACGTCTGGTTACCCTACCTGTGCCACAACTGTTTTTCTGCATATAAAAGCTGGGGCTGGTGTTAGGGGGTAGCAAACAAGGCAATTACCCGGTGTCCCAGGCCACAGGGGGCCCCGCAAAGCTTAGTTGTTCAGGCTTTGGCGTCAGCCGCAGGTGGCAGGGCTCAGGCCCCCGAGCTTCAGCCACATAAGGTGGGGCTTCCTCTTTCTGCCCTGGGCCCCAGCAACTCTAATGCCGGTCCTGCTTGGCAGATCCCCTGAAACCAGTTCATGGCCCCCCCAGTGGGTCCCCTCACCCGGGTTGAGAACCACTAATCCGGACCATCCCTGACAGGTGTGTCTAGCCTGCTCTTAAAAATCTCCAATGATGAAGATTCCACAACCTCCCTGGGCAATTTATTCTAGTACTTAACCACCCTGACAGTTAGGAATTGTTACCTACACCGCCCTTGCTGCAATTTAAACCCATTGCTTGTTATCCTATCCTCAGAGGTTAAGGAGAACAATTTTTCTCCCTCCTCCTTTTAACTACCTTTTATGTACTTGAAAACTTATGTCCCCCTCAGTCTTCTCCAGACTAAACAAACTAAATTTTTTCAATCTTCCCTCATAGATCATGTTTTCTAGACCTTTAATCATTTTTGTTGCTCTTCTCTGGACTCTCTCCAGTTTGTCCACATCTTTCCTGAAATGTGGCGCCCCAAACTGGACACAATACTCCAGTTGAGGCCTCATCAGCATGGAGTAGAACGGAAGAATTACTTCTCATGTCTTGCTTACAATACTCCTCTTAGTTAACATCCCAGAATAATGTTTGCTTTTTTTGCAACAGCGTTACACTGTTCACTCATATTTAGCCTGTGATCCACTATGACCCCCAGATCCCTTTCCACTGTACTCTGTCCTAGGCAGTCATTTCCTATTTTGTATATATGCAAATGATTGTTCCTTCCTAAGTGGCGTACTTTGCATTTGTTCTTATATGTATGTCAATAATACTAAGTGCATAATTTGACTTTTACCTTTATTTTTCAGTTTTATTTCATAATATCAAAATCTGCAGTAATACCCAGACTCTTAAGTTTACCCAGAAGAGTTTTACATGCATATTCACTGTGATCCACTGGTCCTCTTGATGCTACTAGATTGTACCTACCTACTAATTTAGTCTAGTGCTATTACTAGAAAACTTAGAACTATATTTTTATCTTGTCTATTGCTTGTTAATATTTTTAGTGTAAAGAAAAAGAAGCTAAAAAAAAAGAGAAAAGCTCTATTAATGAACGAACCATAAAGTCTCTCAAGATGTGCAGGTTGTTTCTTGTACTCTTCAAGAAGGTAGTCTGCTTCCTCTAAAATGCAGCGGTACTCTGGTATCAGGAAGTCCATGTTTCCCTCATGAACCTGCAACTCCTTAAAATAGATTTTAAAATGTTACAAAAGAATTAAAAGGCTGTCAACTCTAAAAACCTAAGAGAAATGAAAATGGAGTTTAGATCTGACAGGAGGTAGTGCATAGACAGGTGAAACAGTCCTTCAAAACTGCTCTTACTATTTTGGAAATGTAATTTTTCTCCCTCTCCTCACTAAGTTCCAAACAGTACTGCCCACTTTTAATGCTGGATTCTCAAACCCCTGTGTTACAGCTTCCATTTCTGAACACCAGCAGAATATGACTCCCCTTCACAGTTCATCAGTACTGTTTCTTCACTGGCTGGTGGTTTGGAACTGAACAGTGATCTTATACTGAGTTTTTCAATCTGATTTTGGTGTCTTTCTGGGAACTCAGAATAAGAAACAGTATCATCAGATGAAAATGGATCCTACTCAGAATTTGCTACCACATTAGACGGTGTTACTTTTAAATACTAGTTTGCTCACCTTTTTTAGAAATAGTCTATGGACTGATGAAGGAATCAAGTGAACAAGCATTTGGAGTTACTTCAACAGGCCATTTCTATGCTACAAAATCAGTTTGGGTTTTGGAGCTTTCTGAGGTGAGTAAAAGTACAAACCGCAATATCCCAATGTAGAAAATATTACAGTAACACAGGAACTGATACTGAAAAATTCAACAGAGAAACTACGGGCTGTCAAAAATAGGAGTGATAATTCAGCCTGTCCTGGCCAATTCAAAGAGAATGAATTGGGGCACCTGAAATCTTAGAATTTTCATTATCTTCTGGCTCTGGAATTGACTCCATAAGAAGTTGGTCCTGTTAACTTTTTTTTTTTTTTTAAACTAAATATATAATTTTAACATGTATTATAGTTATCTTACAATGTTGTTCTACTGCGGAAATAGACCACTAAAAGTGGCATTGTGGAGTTGTGTTATTTTTCCCCATTAATTTTTGCATCTAACAGGCATAGCTTACAACAACTAAAAAGATGTTCTCTCTAGCGGACAGCCCCAGAAAGTCTGCAATCTGAAAATCAAGATGGATTGTTGTTGGTTTTTCCCCTTGATCACCACTTGTAAGCATGGTTCTCCAGGACAAGCTCAGGTTATATAGGTGTTCAGAAGTGCCAATAATTACATAAACAATTCTGTTATTTCACAAGAAGGAACAAAAAACTGCTCAGTTTCCTTCAGCTATGCTGATTCTTCAAGACTGCAAAAAGGTAAAAAGCAATAAAACTCCCAAAACATATTTTGGTTACCAACATCAGAAAATAAGATACCCAGAGATCAAATTTGCTGAGTAAAAAAGTGTCATTTTTACATAGTCACTTTTTAAAGTCAGTAAGTCCACAGAAAGAACAGAAATATATTTTCAAGTAATTAGGAGAAAGAACTCCATCAAAGAGTTGCTTTACACTGACAATTCATTGGGATTTATGAGAACAAAATATTTAAAAATTATCTTTTTTTCTTTCAGACTAAGTTAAGATTATGAGCAATATTCCCCCAACCCTCCTTATATTCAACCATTTCTAGACTAAAGGCAGACATTCTTTTGTGGCTGCAGGAATGGGACTCTCCCTCTGGATACAAACTGAGTACTGGGGGATGGAAAGATTATTTCGAAGGTTTTTGTTTGTTTGTTTGTTTTTTTTTGACTGCCACATATATTAAAATAAAATATCAAAATTTAAACAATCCAGTAGCCAAGAAATATAATCACCACCCTAAAAAGTTAAAGGACGCTCCAATTAACAAACAAAAAACCCCCCCCACTTTATCTAAAAATCTGAGCTACTATTGTTACAAATTAAGAAAACAAATTCTCTAAGTTTTCAGTTTGTTTACACAGTGCAGCAGTGACAGCACTTTAGGTCTCATCCCATTCCCCTTAAAATCAATTGAAGTCTTTAGCATATAGTCAGTGCCACTTTTCCAATTTAGTAGTCACTTTCCCATTGCTGTTTGGTTGTTCACAAAGAAACAGGGACAAACATTTAAAAGAAGAAAAGGTAGGAAAGTTAGATTGCAGAAGTCACAAAAAGTTGCCAGTGGGTCTTCTAGGAATCTAGGGCAAATATAGTACCTGAAACTATTTATAATTAATGTTTAAAAACAAACAGACTTCATTTCAAGTTATGGTGTTCTTTTTTTAAAAAAAACAACATGATACCATGAAATAAGGAAAGAACAGTTGCTTAAATTCTTCTTGACACTTTAAGAGAACAGACTAAACTATTACTCACTAACATTTTATACCACCACTTCTCTGGTGGTTTCATCTATTTCTTCTAAACCTAAACTTTCATTAACAAAAAAAAAAAAATCTGTTTTATGGTTGAAGAGACAACCTCCTCAACATGACCTGATGCTATGCTGCCTTAATCTCCAAACAGACAGAAACAATAGTGCTGTGAGATGTGAACTTTTTCCATGTATTTAACTGGGATGTTCAAGGGAGACTGTCTTCAGAAAAATGTCTATGTAAAGTGGCAATTAACAGAGCAGTTCCCTGTATATTATTTCAAGTCATGCCTGCTAACTAGCAACAAACCTTTATTATATTTTACTCCTGTTAGTGCTACAGAACCAAACACAGAAATGAAAAAGGGAGCCAGGTTCCTTCCTGGCTCATATATCAATAGAATTGTTAATAAAGTTCTAGTCAAAAAACCTTTATTGCAGGGCAGTGGCTCTCAAGCTTTCCAGACTACTGTACCCCTTTCAGGAGTCTGATTTGTCTTGCGTACCCCAAGTTTCACCTCACTTAAAAACTACTTGCTTACAAAATCTCATTTTTACCCTATAATTATAAAATAAATCAATTGGAACATAAATATCATACTTATACCTCAGTGTATAGTATGTAGAGTAGTAAACATAAGTCACTGTCTGTATGAAATTTTAGTTTGTACTAACTTAGCTAGTGCTTTTTATGTAGCCTGTTGGAAAACTAGGCAAATATCTAGGTGAGTTGATACACCCCCTGGAGGGCTTCTGTTTACCCCAGGGGTACACACACTCCTGATTGAGAGAATCACAGTTGTAGGACATTAAATGGCCAGAGAACTCGGATTCAGATTCCAGGCTGAGTTGTGGCATTTGACAGTTAAGAAAGAGGTTAAAACAATCCATTTGCCAACTTGCACATGGGGGGGGGGGGTAATTCTACAGAATTTAAAGCTTTCCATTAAAAAAGTTTCTAGTGAGTATGATTGTAAAGGAAATATTTGAAATGTGAATCAATGCAGTGCTGTCTTCCTTAGTGTACAGAAACAGAGCTCCAGTAGGGCAGCTGCTTTTAGTCTTAAAAAGCAGCAGCACAAATGAAATTAACTAGACTAGCAGGCATGAAACTGATCAAAACACAGTCCTCTGCACAGCAATTAAATAAACAAGACTCATGTCAACTGTACTCTGTTGCTGCTTGAGAAATTTATGAACAGTAACACAGGAAGGCAGTGGAGTTTTTATTGCCAGGGTGTAAAGAGGCTGGAGAAGGAATAGGTAGCAGAGACTTCCCCAGCATAGCAGCCAAAACTGAAGGAGAGGCAAATCAACATTTTAACTATTAATTATGGATTATTTCAGCAGAAGCAACCAGCTGCTGTGGTATTGTGGACAGCAGTTAAATACCACAACCACCCTCCCGCATCTAACCACTGTTTTTCCTCGCTGTCCTAGGGCTTCAGTGGAGAAACTGACATAGGCACATTTAGAACCAATGCTATTGCTGCCCTTTATTTGGCTATTTACACGTGCAATTCCCTGATCTGCACACACACAACTGTAGTAACTGTGCAGCCACACACAAACACCTACATTTTTTGAAAATCCGTCTCTTAAAAGGTCATCTTTGGATTTCAGAATTAACACTTGACTGAGACAATTGGGATGGTTTACACCTCTTAGAGACATTTAAAGCTGTCTATGCTTGAGTCACAATTAGAAACTTAAATTTTTGTAACCATATGGGTTAGAAATTTATTTAAGGCTTACATTTTGCAGAATCTACATTTGTCATGGAGACCAGAGAAATATATCAGGCGTGACAGATGTCTGACAATTGTACTGGAGAATAAACCACCATTTCTTATAGATCTGCATCTTTAGAAGGATGCCTATTCAGTTTAACACTCTGAGCAGACTAGATTTCTGTGTAGCCACAGAAAAGGTACAGTCCTCCTTTCAAGACTATCCTTAAGGGGAGTTTTAAAAAATGTGTATTAGGAGTAGTAAATGCAGGACATCAATCAATTCTCCAATTTAGACTACTTCCACCTTCAAATGATTACTGACGTGGTTCCAGGGTCAAAGATTAATAACTTCTGAATAATCACCACATACTTCCTGCTGATAGCTGGGGCAGAACCCCAAGAGTCTTAGTTTATCTTTTGCTGCAGGTGATTATCTTCTGGTTTAAAGACCAGTTCTATTTTAGTTTATCTGGAGCCAAGGAAGGAGGGAAGGAGCTGGAGAACCAATGTTAGACAGGGTAGCAAGAGGTAGCTATATTTAAAAAGCTGTCACAAATAACTGATCAATCATTAAAACAGATTACTCACTAGTCAAGCTCGAATACAAGTGGTATATGGAGTTCTTTTTAACAAAATCTCTTTGATAACCAACATACATGAACAGCAGTCCTGGCAACAGAAATACTGCAAACACAGTGACGGCATGCATCTGACACAAGTCATGTATAACTTGGTCGCTGCCACCCTAAAACCAAACAACTCCCCCTCCCCTCTCCACAGTAGAAGTTATGATCAGATACCTACTTTTAAAGCATCTATTAACTGAACTTTCTTGGCCAACAGCAGCTGATATTCTAGTTTCGGGTGGATTAGTTTTAATGTGTGGTTCACAGATACTTCATTTATATCTAGTAGGTACAAAAAAAATTAGCAATCAGATCAATACTTTTAATGCATTTCATGCATAAGATGATAAAATGAAGTAGAGGAGAAAAAAAAATCTTACCATATGATATATTGAGATTAATTTTCCTTTTGGTGGCTTCTTTAGAGAGCACATCTTTTAGAATGGATATGGTAGAAATGTTGTCAGATTTGAAAAATCCCTCCCCTTTTCTGCCAAAACAAACAAAAAAAAAGATTTAAGAAGCAGAGTTAGGGCAGGCCAGTGCACTTGGTTTCCATTTTAAAGTGATAAATAGGGCTACCCCACTCTCTAGTCAGGGGATGAAGCACAACCTCCTTAGAGGCCATCGCTAAAGCTATTCCACAGACTAGCTATCAGAATATTTCCATACACTGATTTCATCACACTCGCTATCCAGAGCTCAATCTTGCTACACCACAGAACACCACTCTCTCACAGTCAGAAAGCATAGGCTGTTCTTATAGATTTCCTATGCCACAGAGGAAGCAGGGTTTGTCTGTATGCACGTGCGTGTGCATGTAAAAAATCTGCAACACCGTGTAGTATCTAGGATTGCTGACATCTATGTAGCTACCCAAGTTATTACAGTGTGCCTGTCACCATAATATGAGTGCCTAACACACCCCAATATCAGTCTCACTTTACATGAAAAAGAGTAGAAAGCGTTTTGACTTTCTCACATCAATTTATAAGCATTTCTTATTGTAATCCAAGATCAAGTTGGAATCTATATAATTAGAGTAATAGTAATTAATGTTTCCAGCTTCTACAACTCTATTATAAAGCAAAACGATATCTGCTAGCTGAAGCAGCACACTGATTCATTTAAAGAGAACAGAGAATATTATTCCTAACACTGAAAATAAACATTTCTCTAATGACAGGTTTCAGAGTAGCAGCCGTGTTAGTCTATATCCGCAAAAAGAACAGGAGTACTTGTGGCACCTTCGAGACTAACAAATTTATTTGAGCATAAGCTTTCGTGGGCTACAGCCCACTTCTTCCGATGCATAGAATGGAACATATTATAATATGAATTGCTATGCAAACTAGATACAATCAATTTAGGCTTGAATAGAGACTGGGAATGGCTGAGCCATTACAAACATTGAATCTATCTCCCCATGTAAGTATTCTCACACTTCTCAAACTGTCTGTACTGGGCTATCTTGATTATCACTTCAAAAGTTTTTTTCTCTTACTTAAGTGGCCTCTCAGAGTTGGTAAGACAACTCCCACCTTTT